ATATTGTAATTTGAGTAAAAGATGCTTTACATTAGGGCTGTCAAAAATTCGAATTTCGAATATTCGTCGAATTTCAAATAAAAAATCCACATTCGAATGCAAAAACGTTGCATCCAAATTATAGGTGTGCGTCAGACAGCCTTATCAGTGGCGCACGAGATGCGATGACAATGTAAGTGTCGTTGCATTATAATGTTTTTGTTGGCCTATCCAGTTGAAACCACTAGATGCGGCGCTGCTGCATTGTTCATTAAAAATATTGCGGAAAAAGAGAACATCAATGCGGAGAAGATCTTGTTTACGTCAAAACTGAAACCAAGCATTTTACACAGAACGCATATTTGACACATTTTCTAGAGGGACATCTATCACCGTTGCACTCGCATCTCGCACAAAAGAGCCATGTTTAGAGAGCCATGTAAAATTAATGTAGGTTTAACTTTAAAAAAAACATATATCGAGACTTTATGGCGGGTTTTTTCCCCATCCCACTGCATCTCATGTTTTTAAATGAAAAATGTACTCTGTGATTGGCTTTCCGCCTTTTGTTTTAATCTATGCATACATACATGATGCTGTTTTGTTTATAGTTGTTTAAGCAACTTAATTAATTATATATGGTTTATAAACATTGTTTTAAACATTATGCATTTTTTTCACAGATGTCATCTTACTGAATAAACGTGTATTAGTAATATTTTGCTCGATGCGCCCTCTTGTGGCCTCAGGGTGAAGAAAAGCATTTGGCTTCTCTTCTAACTGAAATTATGCATTTTAAATTCGAATATAATTCGAATTTTGATAATATTTAAGTACAAAATTCGAATTTAGTTTTTCAGCCATTTTGACAGCCCTACTTTACATTAAGCAATTTCCAACTGTATATAACAATGTAACTTTATACCTAACAATGTGAATTTATCTCGCAATAGCAGTTTTGTTTCTTGTAAATTCAACTTTATATCTCACAATTTCATTTTAAGTCTTGGGAATTTTTATCTCATAATTTGACGGAAGATGCTTCACATTCTATGTTCGAAGATGCCATTACACAATTTTCAACTCAATCTCACAATGTGTCTTTATCAATTGCAATTGTATTTTTGTTTCTTAGACATATGACTTCATATTTCAAAACTCAACTTTATATCTCACAATTAAAGTTTAAATCTCACAGTGGAACTTTTAATCTCATAATTCGATGCAAAGACATCCAGTTCGAAGATGCTATTATGCAATTTTGGACTTTGTATCTCACAATGTAACTATACTTCACAATGAGTTTTTTTTCTTATAAATACAACTTTATATCTCGCAGTTCAACTTTACATTTCACAATGTGAGTTTAAATCTCAAAATAAAACCTTTTATCTCATAATTTGATGGAAGATGTCTCGCATTTGAAGTTCGAAGATGCCATTATATATTTTTTGACTTTATACAGTATCTCAAATTTTTAACATATCTCACAATTTGAATTTAAATGTCAGAGGATTTTTTATCTCAAAATTTGATGCTAAGATGCCACGTTCAAAGTTAAAAGATCCCATTGCACAATTTTTGACTTTATATCTCACAATAACACTAACAATGTGACTTTATCTCACAACTGCAGTTTTGTAAATCTGACTTTTTATCTCATAATTCAACTTTATATCTTACAATGTGTTTAAATCTCTGAGTGAAAATTTGTATCTTATAATTTGACATAAGATGCTTCATATTCAAAGTTTGAAGATGTCATTATGCAGTTATATTATCTCACAATTACTAATATTTTTTTTTTTACTCTGAGGTGTGCAAGGCTTTCACACAATAAGACCAGTAATGTTTATTATGAAAATTATATAGCGTCAATATTAATTTTACGTTGACTCCAAACCCAGACACCTTTGACTTGAGGTACAATTGCAAGCCATGCCCTGCTTTGTACTTCCCCTCACTTTCCCGCTAAAAAACAAACAGTAAAATGCTAAAGTAATGACATATCACGAGCTCCGCTACAACCGAATGAAATTTGGGGCCTGTGGTGTCACAAGCGTTTTGAGTCAAAATGTGTTGAGGTGGAGAATGTAAAAAATGCTTGTACGCCTCATGAATTGTGTCAGAGAGCACTGCCCTCCTCACATCAACTCTCATCACCACAGCTCTCATCGCGTTCAGAAAGAGCTTGTGGCCGTCAGGGATGCTTTGTGAAATCCCAGCCCTGGAGCATATAAAAACAGTCAGAGATTCAGAGCAAGTGTGAGGCCATAGGGAAATAAGCAAACAGTTTTCTGAAAGGATGCAGGTGGCTAGCGGGCCACAACATTGGCTTTAAATATGTTTCTTAATGCTCACGACCGAGGGTCTGTGACACAGGCTGGCTGGCATTACATCCCATGTGTATGGGTGTATTTTCATAAATATTTTCTAAATAGTCCATGTAGGGCAAAAAGTCAAGCTCTTAGAAGAGATCTGCGAGGTCTGCTGAAACCGCTCTAGCCATTAGCTGTGTGGTAAAAAGCTGGAGAAAAGTGACATAAATATTGCAGTTTCACATGCTTGTGCTTGCAGCTCATGTCTCTTACTGTAAAATTATTAATTCAACAACACATGATCAACTATGTAATCTATGTGTACATATTGTAGTGCACAGAGCAGTTTGTTTTGTCAAAACTGAATATGGTTGTGAATATTTAATGTAAACTCACAATAAAGTTCTCAACAGATGTTTGACAATGTCGCAATTTTCCATTTCATTAAACAGTTTAGGCCTTTAAATACTGTAAAGATCATGCAAAAGAGATTAAAAATATATATATTGGTCGTAAACAGATAATGTTAAGACATCTGACACCAATGTACAATTTGAGCAGTAATTAATTTGGGAAAATTCTGGCAGAATTTGTAATGCAAATGTTGTTTACTAAAGAATTACTAAAAAAAATAATAGTTATAATAACATCTGTGGTTGCTACAATGGAATTCAGCTGGAAAAGGCACTTGTTTCTTGTATTAATGTTTAATAAATTGTATTTTACACTGTAAAAAGATTTTTCAAAGTTGTAAATAAAAGATTGCCAAAGAAAATACTATTTCAGTCTTTCCACTTCAAAATATCATGATTAATTCAACGTTTTTCTTGCCATTTCATTGTAATTAATAAAAAAATACTGACTATTTCTGAGTGAAAGCTGTTTCTACACCTTTTTTATGTAGTAGTGTGACTACTATTCTGTATGGTTTAATTTTTAGTTAATTCTTGAATTACATTAGGTTAATTAAGTAATATGCCATTTTCATGTTTTAATTGCAAATATTTTAAGTAGAGCCCGACCGATATGGGTTTTTCGGGGCCGATACCGATGCCGATATTAGCTGGACAAACTAAGTAATTAAACCATTTCAAGCATTTTATCTGCGTTATATATTCTGTAAAAAAAAAATTCATATTGGCGGCATATTTGCCGATACCGATATATCGGCGACAGGCTCATATCGGCCGATAATATCGGCAAAACGATATATCGGTTGGGCTCTAATTTTAAGGGTTTATTGGCTTTTGTCATGACAGGATGTAAAATCTTTAGTGTTGACCCATTTACTTCTATTGTAAGTACCTTACAGTAACCAAGATTATCAAAATTATCTTCTGTGGTAATTGATGATATGCCACAAATAGACCTTGTACTGAACCTGGAACATTTCTTTAAGTTTCACCAAACACATTTGAGATCAGAGATCTTAAACTACCTGCTCGCTTGTATGTAAGACCAAATGAAAACCTTGGTAAACAGAGCAAAAAAATCCGGAGAAGAATGAGGTTGGAATCATCCTAGTAGACCGGTGGGATGTCATTAGCCGTGTTTATCTCTGATGCAGACCATAGATAAGGCTGAATAATCCTCTCACATCATTACAGGCAACTGTATAGACTGTTACTATTTGAATTGCTGTATCAGTAATCGCACACTTCAGAACCAAGGGGTGGGATACAATTATCTTCATATGCCATATTTGGATGCATTTACGTTTTTGGTTACTGCAACTATTTACACCCTACAAGGATTGATTCTGATTAATTATACTGGGGTTTGTGCATACTCTCATGCGTGGCTTATTGTACATTCCAAATCATTTGTTTTCAGATCTTTTACACATTCTCTCAGCTCACTTTGCATCTGCCAAAACACATGCTTTGGAGATAAACTAACTGTAATTTCCCAATGTTGTGGGAACAGAGAGAGCAAAATTAACTATTTATTACAATGCAGACATGAACTAGGTAGGTGGATAACCCAATGCAGAGTCTAGCAGCTTCTGCCTCTAGAAAGCTGAATCTTAATTCACAAATTCATTTGAATGATCAAGCCTATCCACTTGATTGTAACGTTTTAACATCAAGCCTGTTTGGAGCAACAGCAGGAGGGAAGAACAGAGAGAAATAGAGAGAAAAATGATAATATTGTACTTTTTTGCCATTTTATTTTATTTTATTCTATTTTTATCATTATTGTTGTTGTTGTATGGAATTAATGGAATTAATGAAAAAAGTGTAATATTATTATGATGCAAAGACGATATATATATACATATATAAAATGTACTTACATGTACTATCATTTAATAGAATAGAATAGAATAGAATAGAATAGATGCATCAAGCAATCATATCAATGAAGAACTTTGAAATTGAAAATAGATAGAGAGACAAAGAAATTAACCCTGTTGAAAAGCCACTCTGCAGGTGCGAGGAGTCGATGCTTGGTCGATTCATTGATTATGACTAACAACCTGTTTAGGTTACACTATTGATTGCAAAAAACATAACATGCTTTTCAATACATAAACAACCGTTATTATGCGGTGCTGTTTTATGTGGCGTTTCAAGGCATTATGCGTTCTCATAAATCAGCTGCCATGTAATCATACGGGGTGAAACGACATGAAACCTTGACGCAGGGACTCGTTCCAGCACATGTGATGGACTACCTTTGGACACTTGGGCTCAGACTCACCTGGAACAGTCGCAGTATATTTGCGACCATGATGGACACTGAACTCGCCGAAGCCCCTATGACTCCGATCACCTTTTCGGGCTTGACGAACACCGGGGGCTCTCCGTTCGTACACCTCACATCCGACGTGTCTTTCTGTATGAGAGCCTGCACAAAAGTAAGCGACTGCTCCAACGCGTACGTGTCTCGCGAACATGTGTCTAAAACCCGAGCGCCTAAAGTGATGTTCGGCAAAAGCTCGTCGTTACTGTTGATTTGGTCCAATGCATAAAGCATCGCCTCCAGCCGGTGTATCCCGTTCTCCTTCTTGATATCTCCACACGGTTCCCCGGAGACCCCGCGGGCATGGACCGGGAAAAGGCCACCCAGGGTCAAATCCCCCTCAATTCTGATGGAATGAGGAGCGTAGATTTCCTGCGAAAGTGTCACATCCACAAGCGCTTGAATTATCCAAAATACCCGCCATGGAAAGCAAGCCATGTCTCCGTATCGTTGGGAAACAGAAAAAGGCACTTTTCACAGTATTTATAGGTAAACAAAAACAGATTCGATCTCAATAACGGCCATAGACCCTTCCAAAGTAAGGTTGATGTGGGCATACGTTGAGGTTTTCTCCAAAAACACCGCGCAATAATGATGCGTTATTCCTTGGGAAAGTGCGCATCGTATGGCGCCGCTTGTTGCTTAGATATTCTGCATTATTTCTTTAAATAAAGAAAAAAGACAGAAGAACCAAGTAAAATGCGTACAGTACCTTTCTATGATTTGTCCTTAAATCAAACACACGCAAAACGCATTAAAGTGCAGCGATATTCGACTAAAACACGTCCGATCCACGCTGATGTCATAACGCCACTGCAAAACCATCGCGACTGAGTTTTAACGGATTTTATGTTTAAAAAATTTAAGGCGGCAAAAAAGTTTTCGTTCAGAATGACTCGTCGCGTGTAACAGTCAGAGAAAAATGTTGCAGAGAATCGATGTCAGGTGAGATATCCGTAACATCCTCCCATCGCGGACTAAGCTGAGGCTTTTTTTTTCTCGGAGCAGGTTACGTTTGAGAGAAAGAAAGCAAGCTTAGGCGGTGATACGTCGTTTGGTCTTGCGAAAATCCTCACAAGAGACAAGAAGACAACCCGCGTGTCTCCTCCTCTCTCTCCCTCTCTCTCTTTCTCTCTCCACCCAGAATCAAATATGGATTTGTCAAATGACTCAACGCACGATCGATGTCGTATTACTCATCCTGGTCAGCCCTCAAAGAAAATACGCTCCTGCATGTGAGGCGAATCATAACGCGATATAGTCATTAAACTCAACGATTAATTGAGGGAGCTATTGCAGTGGAGGTCTCACTAAGGTTTCTCGGTTCCAAAGCTCAGTTGCAATGCAGGTTTAAGGTTAAGATTTTCACCACTACATTCTCTGTAATAGAGAAAGAAAGGCTTCTCAAACATTTAACCATATCTGGATCAACTCCTCATTCATATACTTGTGTTCCGACAAAAACCATATTCCGCACAACGTTATTTCACTGATGTGGGTTAATATGGAATATACTCCAGTTCTAGAGACTCGCATTGTTTTTCCTGTTGAATGCAGCGACTGGCGCTGACAGAGGAAATGAATTCTGTCAACATCAATTCATGATTTTACCGCCCCACTAGTGATGTTCTCTCTCTCTCTCTCTCTCTCTCTCTAGCACACACTTTTTCTATTCTATTATGATGGGTGTTAGATTACATTACACTCTCTGCCAAACATTTCTGTGAGTTTGCCTCTCTGTGCTCCCTCCTCCCTTCAGGGTTCTTTCTTCCCCTCTTTTGTCTTTTCTCCTATTTCTACACACATGCACACACATGTATATTTCCTCAAGAGTTCAAATGTCCAGATGAGGACGGGGGCTATAGGCCCGAAGGTTATTGAATTTGGACTGACCGAACTGTATAGTACAGTTGAGAAAAGGTATCCTTGGCCAAGTGTACGCCTAATATGTCCAGAACTTCCTGGCCAGACTTCCATTTTATATAACGAATATTTCTTGGCTTGTGTACCACATATCTCATTTGGATGAATCACTGCACCACCCCTTACGATGGTGACTATATAATCTGTTGAAGTAATAATAAACTTTGAAGAAGTTTGTGAACAGACAATTGGCTTCATGTTCATAATTCTTTCCATGATCCCATGCAAGGACTGAGAATAGTCAGACGGCATCGAGTGAATTTCTACAGACAGATGAGAAATAATCTTTAATGAATCATTCTTACTGTCAGCTAAAAAATTAATCATATTTTCGTGCCATGAATTTGGACTCTGCCATATTGTGGGTTATCCTCGTACTGTGTAAGATATATGGGAAGAACAGTATAGGGTCGCGACCGACTGTTAATCTGCAGGTTATCCTCACGATTTATATGTGGGAAGGAGAATAGATGTTTTGCAAAATATATTTTTCATTACTCATTCGTAAAAAGCGAATGGACGCTTCGTGAAAAGCTATCTTTGTTACCTGTTCTCACATTGACATATTCTCAGTCCTTCCAAGATTGAATGATTTTTAAATTACTTGAGAGTTGGTATTGTGAAGTCCTTGCAAGGCACTAAAACAAATAAATTGCTCAATCGCAATTCTTCTAATTGTCTATGCCCCTTGATCTGGACAGGATGGGTGAAACAGCAGAGTAGTATGTTTCAGCAAATTGTTTAGTACACATTCAACTAATTGCTATTTGCCATTATTCTAAGTTCACTTCGATTTAGTGAAGTTTTTAAATGAATCTACTCTTGCTTTGTTCTGTCTCTGCTGTGTTAGATCAAGTACGCTGCTATTTTTAAAAGCATTGTCAATCACCAACCAAGCCAAAATTATGACACAGTACTGTTGATTAGATGGATGACATTGTAACGAGCAGAGATGTACAACTGTATTTAGATGATTTGGCTGATATTTTTTAGGACATTTGAGTTATGTATTGGCTCTGAAATGTTAAAGGCAACTTTATATGAAAAGTGGGAGCCACAAGAGAATTATATTGATGAATCAATAAATAATATAATGTTAAATATATGTTTTCAAAGAGATAGCTTGCATTACATCTTATCTTTACAAGTATGGAGTTTGGGTCCGTTGTCCCTGGGGGACAGCCTGAAATGTGATATATTGCGGAGATTGAGACTTTAGTTTGTGTTAACTAAAATAACTTGTGCATTGTGATCAATGAGAACAAGATTGAGTGACTATTTTAAATGGCCGTATTCAGCTAATAATAAAAAAGAAAAAAAAAGAGGAAAATTATTTTTTCTTGACTTTGGTTGTCACATGTGGTAGACTATTTACAAGATTTCAGTCTGAAGTTATAATACAATGCATCATGCTGATGTATTTATAAGGATTATAGAAGTATGATATGTTCAGATAAATCAGCATAGGTTCTTTTCTGCATTCTGCAAAGAAGGAATTGCTTGCTCTTTTTCAGCAAAGAACTTGCTTATTAAAATAAAATAAAGAACTGCTATATATTGTTAACTGGATGAGATTTCTTAAATTTTGGACAGTTGCACAAGATGACTGACCATAGCACAGATTGCTTATATGCAGTTGTGGTCAAAATTTACAATGCGGCTCTCTTGAGTGTTCATTTTATAGAAGAAACCAGACGACTTCTGGGACAGCTGCCAATGGGCGATACAACATGAAGAAAGAGACATTATGGCTGTGGAGAACAGGAAAAGCTGATAGGCTGATCGGCTACACCCCCTGTAAGAGGAATCTGACACTTCTGGGAGGGGCTAGAATGGAAAAAGACTGAGAAACAATGCAGGCATGAAAAATCTGCCATGAGAGGCAGAGAGGAAGATAACTGCATCAGCTTCTTATAAATCTGATAAACAAAGATGTTCCAGGATTCCAAAAATTCAGAATAGAGGGGCACAAAGTGTCCAAGTACAAAATATGGATGGCAAAGCAATGATACTGGTCACTCCATCTTGGTAAATAGATAATGTTTTAGGGCTGAATTTAAATAATACGTTTTAAAATACGCTGCAGCAGGTCAGGCTGTCGCTTCGTTGCACACAATGGCATACCAGGCTGACCTGCTGAAAGACCTGGATAAAGGTGTTACTATAGTCGCACCGGTACTGACGTCATGGCTGTCGCCGGCCAACGAGTTGGTGTTTTTTCAATGTATGCTTCAGACACGGGTCACGACGAGGCGTTCCCCATAGCGACCCCTAGAGGACGCAGTGTCTCGTTCCCTACTCAGGGAACCATGGTTACATAAGTAACCTGAGACGTTTTCCCCTTTATTCTCAGGTTTTGGCTGTTCAATTCTAAGGGATTCAAAAAAAAAAATTTTGAATTGTGAGTTATGTAAGAATTGGGAGATATAAACTCACAATTCTAAGAAAAATTGAGTGAGATATGACAAAGTCACTATTACCATTACCGTTATTATTACTATTATTATTATTTATTTATTTATTTATTTATTTTATTCCATGGTGAAAACTGGCTTAACATGTTTTAAATGGTTCTTAAATCAAGCATATCATGTTATTTTTTTTTTTCTCTCTCTCTCTCTCTTAGGTTTTCAGTTGGTCTATATTTGTTTTGTTATTGCTAAAAAAAAAATAATAATAATTGCAAGATGTAACCAGAATTCAGTGGGAAAAAGTCAGAAAAGTGAGACATAAATTCAGAAATGAGTGATGTATACTTGGAATTGCTAGAAAGTAAAATTTATGAGTTTATATATCACAATTCTGTTTCTTTTTTCTCAGAATTGAAAGTTCATCTCACAATTCTGTTTTTCTCCCCCTCAACGCAGAGTAAAAAATGAATAAATAAATAAATAAAAAAGAAAAAACCCTCAGAATTGCGAAATATAACCACAATTACGCAAATTTGTAAAAATGTAACAACAAATTGCTAACTAAATTCAATCTCATTTGTACGTTTTCAAACAATCGTATGCCCCACTGATGGTTACGTTTAGGGGTGGGGTTAGTGGTGGAACCCACCTTTTTTTTATGAATCAAATCAAATTCATATGAAACAGCCAACTTAGGTTTTCAGTTGGTCTATATTTGTTTTGTTATTGCTAAAAAAATAAATTAATTAATTGCAAGATGTAAACAGAATTCAGTGGGAAAAAGTCAGAAAAGTGAGACATAAATTCATGAATGATGGATGTATACTTGGAATTGCTAGAAAGTAAAATTTATGAGTTTATATATCACAATTCTGTTTCTTTTTTCTCAGAATTGAAAGTTCATCTCACAATTCTGTTTTTCTCCCCCTCAACGCAGAGTAAAAAATGAATAAATAAATAAAAAAGAAAAAACCCTCAGAATTGCGAAATATAAACACAATTACGCAAATTTGTAAAAATATAACAACGAATTGCTAACTAAATTCAATCTCATTTGTACGTTTTCAAACAATCTTATGCCCCACTGATGGCTACGTTTAGGGGTGGGGTTAGTGGTGGAACCCACCTTTTTTTTATGAATCAAATCAAATTCATATGAAACAGCCAACTTAAACAGCTAAACAGTTACATTTTCTCATAAGATCGGGTTGTATCATTTTATCTTTGAGCACATCCCCAAGGAATGGTTTTGTCATATTTAGCACACTTCTGGGGACGGTGTGTCCTCAAAAGACAATTTGACAAGGTTCAGTCCACACAGACTTCATTTTGTAGATCTGTGAATGTGTGGCAGAGACTGAGGCGAAAAGATTATTTCCAAAAGGGACAGACGTGTAGAAACATGACTCGTGCGGATTATTTATGCGATTCAGTAGTGTTGTTGATCTACTGTGTCTCGCCAGTCAAAGACATGAGACAGTGTTCAGATTCATATTGATTTGTTTGGTGAAGCAGTCAAGTTTACTTCAGTGAGGGACATAGATTCAGTGTTCATGAATTCACCCACATTAACCTTACATTCCCTACTGTCTATGCTTATCCATTGGCTTGCGTCTAAAAAGTTATGAATATTGTAATGAATTTGCTTGAAGAAAAACATTTAACAGACATTGTCTGAAACCAAGTCTCTTGGAAACAAAAGATAACAAAACTTCAAGTAAAACACTGCAGTTCATTGATTACGTGACATTA